AAAGCAGGCTTTGGTAATTTGAGCGGCGAGTTCTGGTTGGGCCTCGATAAAATACATCGTTTGACGAAATCTGACCAAAATGTTGATTTGATGGATTTTGATAACGTTGAGGCCTACGCTAAATATGGAACGTTTAGTGTGGCTGACGAGTCAGACAAATACAGATTGAATATTGGCAAATACTCAGGTAAACCTGTAAATCCATATTCTACGCCTATATATTAAAAACCAATCCGAATGCCTTATATGAGAAGCCAACCGGATAAGAAATACCCCAAAAATCATGATTGTTTATTGAGCACTAATGTTTAGAGTATGGAATAGGATCGCTTTTTTACTTCAGCAAAAAAAGTTGTATGGTAGAGCTCGAGTTTTTGCTTTAAAACTCATAGTTATTTCTTGGCTTTCTTGGCTTGTGTGTTTATTTGGATTTCATCAGTAAAATTAATATGCCTTAACTATAAAATACATTCGAGTTCAGTGAATAGAATGTGAATCCTTGCAACGCCAGAATTGTGGTAGCGTATTTCGATCTCTATATTCAACAATTAGACAACGAAGCCGAGTTGTCTAATTGTTTTAGTATACACCCTGTACCTATAGATAATTTTATATTAATTTCGAGAAAATAATCGATACACCGCAATTACACCGAAAAATAATTTAATTAATTCAATTTTATACGGTCGCTAAAGGGAATTTTTCCCAAACGTTCACCATCACGAATAGACAATGGTTGGGTAGCCAATCAGATTGTAGGATTTGTAATAGACAATAGTCGGGTGTATACTAATCACCATGCAGTAGAGCAGCCGGTTTGAAGCTTTATGCCTGGTGACTTCTAGCACATTTCTACAGTCTGCCTAATTTCAAAATAAAATTATATTGCTCAAATAATATAATATTGATCTTCAATTTTCATTTTTACATATCACTTTTTGTTTAATTTTTTAGAAGGTGACGCAGGTGATTCCCTTGCTTATCACAATCAAATGCCGTTCTCAACCAAGGATAGGGACAATGATGATTGGGGTTATGGAAATTGTGCCGGATCAAGAGGAGCTTGGTGGTACAACAACTGTGTTCATTCCAACCTCAATGGCTTTTACCTGAATGCGCATGAAGCCCACAGTACTAGAGCGGGAATACACTGGTTCCATTGGAAAAATTCATGGTATTCTATGAAAAAGGCGGAGATGAAAATTCGTCCCAACCAGTTTTAAGATATCCCGGCATAACTATTGACTAACTGACACAAATATTCACTTGTTCTTTTTTGTGATAAAATTATGTAATATATAATAATAGATAAATAATCACCAGGTATTGCTATAAATAAAACTTTTTCAACCACATATTTTTCAATCACAAAACATTGCTATTGATATTTTCCCCTCAAGGTTATTCGTAAGTCCGAGCTGAACACAGGGTTTCTCGATCGTGACATTAAAGCATGGTTCATACTTGTCGTATAGAATCTAGGATAATACAATGCATCCCCGACCGATTCTTAGGACAAGTGTAAACCAGGCCAATAATATATTCGAGATTTTTACGTGTCGCTAGCGTTAGCCAAAGCATGGTTATATTGTTTAATATTTGTAAATGAGCACGAAGCATGCTTGCAACTTTACATAGGACCCGAAATAGACCATTAAAACAGCGTGGTTATCCATGTCAAAATATTTGACATCATAACCAAAGCATGGTTATATTGTTTAATGTTTGTATATGAGCACGAAGCATGCTTGAAACTTTACATAGAACCCGAAATAGACCATTAAAACAGGGTGGTTATCCATGTCAAAATATTTGACATCATAACCAATGGATGGTTATAATTATTGTTTAATGTTTGTACATAAGCACGAAACATGCTTGCAACTTTACATAGGACAAGCATTTGACCATTAAAATAGCGTGATTATCCATATCAAAATATTTCACATCAAACCCAAACATGGATAATATATATCTTGTTTAATGTTTGTACATAAGCTACATAAGCACGAAACATGCTTGCAACTTTACATAGGACAAGCATTTGAGCATTAAAACAGCGTGGTTATCCATTTCAAAATATTTGACATCATAACCAAAGCATGGTTATATTGTTTAATGTTTTGTATATGTGCGCCAAACATGCTCGCAACATTACATAGGACAAGCATTTGACCATTAAAACAGCGTGGTTGTCTCTCTCAAAACATTTGAAATCATAACCAAAGCATGGGTATATTGTTCAATGTTTGTATATGAGCGCCAAACATGCTGGAAACTTTACAGCTCCGAGTCCTAGTGATACGAAAAACGCACCGCGGTCCCTGTTTGTACTGTTCTAATGGTTTGAAGCTTGGAGTTCTAACATTTGCTTGGAGCGGAATGGAGCAGAAAAACTATGTTTACTCCACTTTAAGACAGTATATTTTTACCGAAATGACATATATATATTGAATACTAGTTATCAACTAATTTATAAGTCATTTCGTAATAAGTATAAGCTTTGGTCAGGCCAGGGAATTATTTGCTTTGTCGAGGAAGAAAACATCACTTAGTATATTGCTATTATTCGAAACGGACGGTGAACGCGACATGATAATATATTTGATTGAATATGCATTGGAATCTATCACTTTGAAGTTGGAAGCGCAGTAAATCACAATGATCGACTGACCGCACTGACGTCTGACTTTCTGCACTGCTAGCGACAAAATCTAGACTACTTCAAAAATACGAAGCCATGTGAAATGGCACGGAGTCGTTTTGAGAAAGAATTGAGGAAAAGCATTGGCTATGAATATTATTATGGTTAAACACTATAGAAATATAACTATATAGTTACCGTATATTCAGCTTTGGCCAGGAAGAACCAGTTTTGGCGGGGAACAACTGTTCATAGTGCTTTCTGCGAGTGCTTTTTATAACACATGAATACCGGCAATGGCGTCTTCATTGACTGCCACAGGGCCGGACCAAACGCTTTGCTCTGCTCTGCGAGTTTGATTAAAAAAAATTGTTGGTTCGTTTTATGCACGGCGGGTTAATAAAAACAATCCAACATTAACGCGTTAATTATTGTGCGTGAATCACTTGATCTGCGAGCATAATTTTTCAATATTACGATATATAGAAGAAGCTTTCAGCTGTTGAATAACACGTTTGCCGTAATAGCTAGATGAAGAAATAATAAGCAAATACGAGCCTGCATGGTCACAAAAAAGCATGCCGAGAAATATTTTCACCGCTGCGGTTGTGCAAGACGTTTGAAGTATGAAATTTATTATAACCAACTCATTATCTTTTACTCACTATTGTTAGCATATATGAAAAAAATTGGCTCTGACAAAACGTTCATAACATTTATGACACGATAGTGCAGGTCTTTTTTGTCACAAATGACATGTGGAAGTGCTATATGCACCAGTATGTCTTAGGCTTTAGGTAGAATTGAATAGAAATTACACATATGAAACAAAAGTGCGTCACTGAATAGACGCGGCTTTTCAGCTTGAATAAAACACAAAAAAATCATTTGCTTGTCACCTAAAATAAACGAGAAATAATCAGTAGCCGTACAGGTCATAGCCAGCACGACGATTTTGTCCCGCTATGTAAATTTCGAGTTGTTATAATTATTCATTTCTTTAAAACTTGCTGGCTACGCTACTGCATGGAAATAATGCCTATTTTTTAACTGAAAATAATTTCTTTCTCAATTCTCGGCTGTCATCGACTAATAAAATACCTATACGATCCATATCTTTAAGACAGGTTACTTTTAAGAGCAATTACGATAAAATTAATCAAACACTCGGGGAAAGGGAACGTCTCAACATATAGTTTGAGCGCTTTACGGCCACTGGCACCAGCATCAATAAAAATAAGTAATTCTATCGTTTTTACACATCCATAAAACATATCTCATTAAATATGTATTAGAATTATTAGCTTAGATTCTGTTTCATGCATATAGGTCTAGAGGTATGTATCTCAAACTGAATCATACTTGAAACAGAGAGAACTTGCAGGCAAGAGAAAGGACATTATAAAATCGAAGGCACATAATTTCTAATAACAGCAGGTACTTCTATGCGGTTTATTAGGGAGCAATTAACCTAAGTGTTTTCAGCAATTTATGAACGTCACAGGAGGTACGGATTTTGTCATCCATGGCTGTTCTGCGGTTGATAAAGTGCATTGAACAACAACTTAAGTATATTTCTATATTATGAACGTCATAAGTGGTACGGGATTTTTCATTTAGCTGTTCTGAGTATTTCTAGCAATTTATGAACGTCATAGGAGGTACAGGGGTTTTCATCTAGGGTTCTGCGTGCATTGTGCATTGAACAAGAACTTTTATGAAATAGCTACTCGCTGTAATGATATAATTGTTAAAATGTATTTTAAAAATTTGAATTTTTGGGAAGAGTTATACATTACAAATCGTTACACGTCAAATATTGGTACACAAATAGCGTCACAGTCGTGGAAAAACCTGAATGATAGACATAAAGTGAATATATCTGTTAAATATAAATTACAATAAAATTATAAAATATATCTTAAAAAATAAACTCATTACATGGGAAAAAAAATATGAGTATTTCTGGTGAAATAAATCTTTCACTTCCAAAACCAAAATACTGAATATAAAAAAGAGTTTTGGGTCCAGTGGGGTTGTGCTATGGAATAGTTTACCAACACAAGCAAAGCAAACAAACTGTTTATTAAGCATCTTCAAAAATAACCAGGGAGCAGCGTCTGACAACTGCTTAGAGGGCCTTCGTCAGGAGATTCAGTAAGAGTTAAGAGTATATATATATATATATATATATATATATATATATATATATATATATATATATATATATATGCATGCATATATTAATGCTTAGCCCTATAGACATGCTAATTGATATATAACCTGCACTATCAATTTAGCGTCATTTAACTGCTGCAAGTGGAGGAAAGCACGACTATAAGGGCCTTGTGCAATAATGTTAAAGATAAAAACTTTATTCCTACTCATTGTTGAAATTGTATATATCATTTCCCAGGAATGTTCTCCTGAGACTTATTATACGATTAAAACAGGTAAGTCATCATTGCTTTCATCTGTTTTAAACAATTTGTCGTGTTTCTAGTGATAAAGAAGCTTAACTACTTTCTCAATACGTCCTTTCTCAAATATGTTCTCTACTTTTAGATCGTCTGTCTTTACCGCCAGATGAAATCATATCGAATCATACCGTCAACTCAGGGTTTGTGCCGATAGAATGTTACGAACTCTGCAAAAAGGAATCCAAATGTGTTGGATTCAACTACAGAGACAAGATCAATGTTGTGAACTGCCAACTGACAAACGTCACAGGAAAGAGAGATCACACTGCCATGACTGGAGAATGGACACTAATGCTCGATTACAAAGCGGTATGTGTATTTTTGTTCATCGGCATTACAAAATTCATGCTAACCGACTTGTGCCACTTTCAAAATGTTTGCAATACATGTAAATTATTAAACAGTTAATGAAATGAAATGAAGCCATCTTCTACGATGATGGAAATAACACAACTCGGACAAGGGTCGCGATTGGTTTACGCGTTTTTGTTCTTCCCTGTATTATTGATATTGCATCAAATGTGGTATAACAATTAACAACTGCCTAAAATAGACAAAACACTTCTCGACGTTTCTACCTAAGGGCCTTCTTCAGGAGAGTTAGTATGAGAATAAATAGGGGAGAATACATGTTTTTTATAGGGCAAAACAAGTAATAAAAATGGGCCGATAAAAAACAAAAAATTAATTAAGAAATAGAAAACATTTTCCGTGTTTCTATACAGTTATAGAAACACGCGTGGAAGTTTGGGAGAACGAGAAATAATCAGTGGACGTTATTTCGAGTTTTCCCAAACTCCCACAAGTGGTTTTTTTTTTAACTGTATAGAAACACAGGAAAAACGTTTTCTATTTCTTTTATAATATAACTCAATAAAAAGATTTTGTACAAATATTATAATTTGATTCAATTACAAATTCTCATTACATCGCTTCGCTTGACAGGTTCGGCGGGAAAATTCCCGTGTTTCTATACAGTTATAGAAACACGCTTCTCGACTAATCAGCACGCGCATACTATAAACGTTATATTATAAAACAAATTGGAAAACATTGCATTGCGAAACAGACGCCTGACTGATTGTGGGCTAAGAATAGCCCCCAATGAGGGGAGCCTGATCAGCAACGAAAATGTATTACAACCAACTTTGATGTAAACAAAGAAATGGGAGTCATATTACTCTGGTTGGAGTAGCTTCAATGAAAGAGAGTCTTGCATTTATGCCAAAGGGATGGAGTATTATCTGATCAGGCTTCCCTCATTGCAGGCTATTCTTAGCCCACAATCAGGCGTCTCTATGGCATTTCAATTGTAATGTATTCCAATTTGTTTTGATTTTTTGTTTTCTATTGGCCCATTTTTATCATGTGTTTTGTCCCCCACACAAAACATGGTTTCTCCCCAATTTATTTTCATACTAACTCTCCTGACGAAAGCCCTCACTCAGGTCGAAACGTCGAGAAGTGTTTTGTCTATATAAGGCAGTTGTTATACCACATTTGATGTTAATTTTTTGAAGACGCTGCCACGCTGCTCCCTGGTTATATTGGAACTTATTATTATTACTGATATTGGCTTTTCTTCAAAAACGTTTTTATTAGGAAATGAGAAGAATGGAGATTTTGAACTCAGGTATGCTGCAGGATAGTAGATGTAAATGAAAAATAATTTTATTACGTAATAATCAAAATGTCCTCAGCATGCAGTGTGACCATATATATATATGAATATTTCATAATAAAAGCTGCTTAAAATTTAGTTTAAGTCTAGTTTTACCCTTCCTGGTAAAAATTTGGCAATTATTATAATCAGGTGGGGCTGTATATGTACATCCGACCAAATCTAGTAATAAAAGTTACCAGATTTGGTCACACTGGAACTCGTGAGTCCCAAATGATTAAAAACCAGATACAATACACACATTATATGTATATTTATTAAAGCAACAAAAAGGAAATTTCCGAAAAGTGCATACTAAACTTGGTCCAATTATCGAGTTTGGCTGCAAAATATATTAAAGTATACGGAAAATATAGCTATGCGAAGTTGAAATTTTGTATATTTTTTACTACGGCCGGAAGTGTGTAACTAAATTAGTTAATTAAACGCTTCCGGCCGTAGTAAAAAAGTATACAAAATTCTCTACTTTGCATAGCTATATTTTCCGTAATACTTGACATTTTGCGGTCAACTTGGCAATTGTACTAATTTCAGTAGTGTTCTTTTTAGCTGTGGTGATTTATTTCCTTCTTGTTACCTAGATCGCAAGTTGGTCTATTAGGCAAAAGGTCCATTTGGGTTTAATCTTTTCGGCCTAAAAATTCAGACAACTCCTGCTGAAGTGGGAGTAGAGCTTTGAAAATAAAAATATATTTTGTATAACCAAGAGAGCCTTGACGTTTTCTGAAGTTTATTTTTCATCCGATGCAGTTTCGGAAAAAGGTGTCTATATACTATACACATTGTGGAACTTGTAGATAATAATTTCTTCTTAGAAAACATGCAACATAATAAAAAATCTAAAATACTTTTTTATATGTTTTGGAAACATTGCATACCAATGCTTTTAAGGATTTTTGCGGCCAAATAATCCGCATCTTGATAATTCCAAACTAACCGGATTGGACTAACAGGTGTGCTAATCGCTCTGCCCCGAAAATAATCAGAGGTGCACAAGACATAAGATAGAAATTTTGATGTTCAAATAAAATAAATTAGACGATAGGCAAATTAATTGAGCAGTCCTTATTATTCCTTACTGCCTAACACAGTTATTCTCAATACGATTTTTAGCGACCAGCTGTGCCTATCTGTATAACAAAGGAATAAGAAAAGATGATGTTTATACCATAAATCCTGATGGCCTGGGATCGTTTCAAGTCAGATGTGATATGAGCACAGACGGGGGTGGCTGGACCGTGTTTCAAAGAAGACAAGATGGAAGTCAGAATTTCTACCTTGGATGGTCAGAGTATAAAGCAGGCTTTGGTGATCTCAACGGCGAGTTCTGGTTGGGCCTTGATAAAATACATCGTTTGACCAAATCTCGTCAAAATGTCTTAAGAATTGATTTGATGGATTTCAATGGCGCTGAACGTTACGCTAAATATGGAACGTTTAGTGTGGCTAATGAATCAGACAAATACAGATTAAATATTGGCAGTTATTCAGGTAAATTTCGCCCAGTGGATAGGTAAATTTAGATTGATCGTAAAACCCATCTATATTTATATATATTTATGAAGTTTGAAAGCAAGGCGAAGCAAGACATTTTTTATCATCCTGAAACAATGATTTCGGATAACATAAGTCAGATAACTGAAATTAAAGTGAATGGGCGTTGATAAGTTGTAAAAATTTCAAACTTTATCGCGGGGTTTTCGCCAAATCTGTAACTCTTTTTGACTAATATTGCTCGATCTTGTCAAACACAATTTCCGTTTTTAAATTAAAAGAACATATAGCTTTTGCCTATATATTTTCTTCTAAAAGGTAGTGCAAATGATGGTCTTGCCTTGCACAATCAAAGGCAGTTCACTACCAAGGATAGCGACAATGATTCTCGAGGTTATGGTAATTGTGCTATGTTCTTCAAAGGTGCTTGGTGGTACGATAACTGTCATCATTCCAACCTCAATGGCCTGTACCTGGGCGCAGGCCACCGTAATGACTCCGGAATAAAATGGAACCTATGGCACGGACATTCAATGAGAAAGACAGAGATGAAATTTCGTCCAAACCAGCTTTAAGACATTCTCAGTATACACGAACAAGAAACAAACGTTCATATGTCGCTCTCGTGAAAAAGTTGAAATAATGAAATAGAATATATTTATTAATATATATAAAATAATACACATGCAGGGTGTTTTAAAAGTATATACTCTTTGCATACGTGCCCTAAATTAGGATACATGCAAAACTAGCAAAACGTTTTGGAAATCTAAGTACGTTATCTGTGACAACTATAATTGAAATTATTTAAGATGGTAGTTTTTCTACTAGCATGAAAGTGATTTCAAAAGCTCCCCAAAAAGGCCTAACATTGAAAAATATGTATCAAAATTTAACTTTGTGTAACAGTGCACTATTGTAATTAGATAATGTAAAAGTTCACCATTGTTATTAGATAATGTAAAAGTGCACCATTGTAATTAGATAATGTAAAAGTGCACCATTGTGGTTAGATAATTTAAGAGTGCACTATTGTAAGTGGATATGACAGTCTTGAGCACATGTATATAGGGAGAACGAGAATGAAATAAAGGATTCTTGGATTCTCGGTATATTGGTTTACAAAATACTAAAGACTCAATAAACAATACCATACAGATAGGGCAGATATGAAAGTATTGCAAGACGACCTTCATTGCCTAAAAGATTTTTTGGAAAGTAGCATCTTATCCACTTCAATGCTGCGTTGAAAATTAATTCAATTTTTACAAAATTTTTTTGACAATGTTTTCTCAATGGAGAACCTTGCGAGTTTGGAATAGCCCGTACCCCCGTATAGTTTATTTTCTTTCCTTCAAAATCAGGAGTTTCCACCAGTACTTTTCGAAGGCGTAATCTGTCTCTTAAATTTGACCCAATGTCGCTCTGTCATGTACGGAGGATAATTTTAGGAGAAGCAAAACTTAAATATCTCTGCAAGTATTTGGGCTAATGACCCCGGAATACGACCAAACTGCAGCGCTCGAAAAGATTATATAAATAGTGTATTCAAACCAGAAGATAGTTATAAGTCAGAATTATAGGTTGCTTTGTTATCTGAAATTACTCAACCATAGCACATAACCGAAAGTTTTTTGATCTTTTTATTATTGTGAGATATTATTATTATTGTACTCGATCGAATAAAAAGAATTCGTACTTCATAATTTGGATTCGAGAAGCATTTGATAATTTTCTACTCCACTAAATAACACAAGATACGTTAATAATTCATCGCATGCTTATTAGCTTGGTACCTGTATGCAACGTATGGATAGTTGTCTGGCAAAACGTTTTTCGCTGATAAACTAATATGTATTTTCATCCATACATAACGCACTCTCAACTTTTACTTTGAAACATGACACGTACTCGTGAAAAAAGTCCAATTCAATTTAATACTAGCGAAAGCAGTGATCAAAAGGCTCTCGCACTCTATGTAGCCCTTATTCCAAATGCTTTATATAATCAGAAGTAATCAATGATTAGCAAGTGCGTTCAGTGGTCGGATTTCCCATCGTTAAAACACTGCAAGAGAGATTCCTGATGCTTTGATAACCCTCACTGATATTTCAAACGCTTCATGCAATTTAAAAATAATCTATACAATTCCTACAAATTCTTTATAAGCATGTTAATAAGAAAGCCCATTGCCCAGTCCTAAACAACAGCGAAATACGGAAAGCACGCGATATTAGGACGCGACACGAAATCCGGCAGTTGAAGAAAACGCAAAAACACGTAAGCGAGGGAAATTGCACACAAAAATCTAAAAACGACATATGTAGCATTTAGCCGTGACGTCACGATTACGAAGCGTTCTCTTTCGTCGAACGCAATAACGCTACTGGTTGTGAATTTCCAGAGAATATTTTTAAACGAAACTCAATACTAATGTGATTGCGATTCTAAGCTGTAGTAATTCATTCGGTCTTATCGCGTATCCGCCATGGCCTGTCAGTCAGTCAGCCAGCTATGTTATGGCAGCTGAATTGCAGCAAATTTGAATAACATTATCAATATTGAAATTAGCTCGAAAGTTGCCAGTTTCTCGGTTACTACATCTTTCCCTCGGAAAATCAGAAATATCGCGATGATTTGCAGATAGTGCTAAGTGCTAATCACATTTAGCATGCGTATTTCAGATATTTTCAAATGAAATCAGAAATTTCAGACATTTACAATTGGATCGATCATTCAAATTTTAGATGTTTTGAATTATTAATCGGAAATGTCTAAAGAGGGACATTTAAAGCCCCGTTTACTTCGCCTTTGTTTTGGTAGCCTGACATTAATAAAGTTGGGTTCGTGTGCCTATTTTAGCCGCGCCGTGCCGATAAATTGAGTGTAGTGTAAACAAGGCTTTACGTACGGCAATATTCAGATATTCTGATGATTATATCTTTGATTCAGTTTGTTTTCAATAATGATATTTTTCCACAATTGTGGATGCCTCATTGTGGTATGTTGTAGGGTAGTACCAGCTGTTTGAGATTGGGAAAGCATTTAAACTGCCAAAGGCACCAGGAGCATACTCGCTATGATCTTTTTTGTTTTTGGAAGTAGAAGACACGTTGTTGTTTCACATTCATTGCTGGTACTAACATCATTTTTGAATTAAAGTATTTAAAAACGCTAATTTTCGTTGAAATTCATATTTGTTTTTCTGAATTGAAAATTGCAACCGTATTCACGGCGTATTGAATTGATTCAACTGTCTAAAATTCATATGATTTTATCTGAAATTGATGCATCTATCTGAACTTTACTAAACTTTTTTGGAAGAGCATTCGCAACTGAAATTAAGTTTGATCAAAATTAGATATTTTTATGCAATGCTCGCGCTATTAATATAATTATTTTCCTTATATAATAAGAAAAAATTATAATCACAAAAATATGCATCTAACTTATTTCATACTGAAAACATTCTTATTCGGTGTGGCTTTCTATAAAGGCCTATTTACACTACACAATATGTTGTATGCAATTATGATTCTGGTGAATGCAAGAGTGCCTATTCCACAATCTTCATTCATATCATCACATCATCCAGAGTGGAATTTGAAGTGTCACATTTGTACGTATGCTCATACGTTCACATACGCCAGGGTAAGAATTGTATACGACAAATCGCATAGTTTAAATGGGCCTTAAGCCGTATCCCATTCGTGTGTGCTGTATGTTCACTAGGTAATAGAGATACCCTTCGCTCCTCGACGCTAACGTTGTCACTCGTTGAGCACGTCCTAAACAAACGAAGCAAATACTGACGGCAAAACAAATTCTTATTACATGCAGCATGGAGGATTCGGCTAAAATTGATTTAGAAAGCATGTGAACGGTTTCATTATATGGCTTTTCAAGATCTTCGATTCTGATTGGTTCACGAGCAGTCCGTAAAAACCACTGATAAACCCCATACCCGGACCGTGGTCCGTATATTCCGTATCTGGACCAGTATCCCGGATGTCTCATGCAGTTCAGCCATATAATAAACAGATTATTGGCCCTGGTTGTTCGATCTGTACTGTGAAATATCAGACCGAGATTTTTGCATGGACTTGAGGCCTTTGCAAGGACTAATTATTTCCCCTGTTCATAGCTACGTATACGAACGTGAAAGTTTAAAATCATTTGAATGAAATCAATGATTGAATAGATGCATATGATCTTTCGTGTGTTTTTCTGGCATAAAGCTTTTACGCGCGTGTATACGTCAAGGAGCTCTACTAGGACATAATGAGATGATTGAAAATATAATTTAATAAAGCGGCTTTCGACTTACGCGTTTTATCTACGCAAGTACAGTACCAATTTGTCTATGAATACGTCATAACACGCAGACAGTTTTTATCACTTGCTTTGCATGGCAAAGAAGCGCAAGCAGTTGTTATCGGAGTTCGTGCAAATGTGCAATCATGTTTAAGGTTTTGACTTTGGGTTTACTAATCGTTAAAGTTGCGTGTATTATTTCACAGAACTGTTCTCCCAGTGGTTATTCTAGCATTACCACAGGTGAGTCGTCTAGTTTTTTCTTTATGATCCATGCATATTCCTATAGTGTAAAAAACTTTATTCCTCTAAAAACTCTCATCTCTAACTATGTTTCCTACTTTTAGATGGTCTGTCGTTATCTCAAGATGAAATCATATCGAATCATACCATAACATCTGGGATCATTCCGATAGAATGTTACGAACTCTGCCGGGAAGAACCGATGTGTTTTGGATACAACTACAGAGACAAGATCAATGTTGTGAATTGCCAACTGACCAACATCGTTGGAAAGAGAGATCACACCGCAGTAACAGAAAAAGAAGAATGGATACTAATGCTGGATGATAAATGGGTATGTGTATGTATTTCAGATATCCGATCAATGCCAAAAAAGAAAAGAAATTTGACGATTCTCAACTTCTACGTGACTAACATTACGCTGCCCCATCACATCTACCTGTAACAAACCGCTCTAGTAATAATGCATAAGTTGGCATGGAAACAAAATACATGTAGCGATAAGTAATAAAGATACATGAAGTAATATATAACAGCAGTTCAGGTTTTTGCGTCTTGTAGGCAGTTGCATGCATGCTATATAACATTTGATACGAGATAATGAATAAGTTAAAAAAATTAGGAGAAAAGACTGCTTAATCTACCTCAAACGTAGCGGAATACATGTAGAAAATAATTAGGTAATATGAGTATAGTTTAGTTGTTATGACACATTTGATGCGAACAGTGGCGGATCTAGTGGTGTGCAGAATAAATTACACAGATTAATTTTAAGTTCAAAACACCTGAATAACAACGCTATTGGTTATAGATTTGAATGCTATTCCGATTTTGAGCTGTAGTAATCTATTTTGCACACCCCTAGATCCGCCAATGAATGCGAAATAATAACACGCTGATTTGTCACTAGTCATGCAACAGTTTCTAAAAACATTTTCTTATTAGGAAAAGCGAAGAAATGACATTTTGAACTCAGGTATGCTGCAAGATTATAAATGTGAATTAAAATTATTTGATTACGACTGAACATTTAACAGGGACGCCGGAAGATCGATAACTGGGGGGAGAGACCAATAATGCAGAACTCGCATAT